ACGAAAAATAAAAGTCCACAGGCTCCTACAAGCCGGGCTGGGTGGGAGGGGATCAGGGCATTACCTTGTCCCTCCTGCAGCCTCAGCCAGCTGGAGAGCCTCCTTGCCCTGGGATGCGGGGCACTGGGAACCCTGACTCTCCTACCTTCCACAGCGGGCATCGAGGAGAGTTTTATCCTGACACCACGGCTTGTCTGCTATGGGGACGTCACAAGGGCTTCGATTCAGTCCCCAAGGCTCAGCCCTGCTACACTCTCCGTGTCCTCCCCCACCTCCTGTGTCCAGTGCAGGCTTGGGCTGGGATGGCCGGGGTCGGATGTGGGGGTCTTTCACTCACCCCCTCCAGCGTCTTCCCTGGACCAGCCTCCCCACACATACGTGCATGCACACACAAACAGGTACGCGCACTTGCCCACACCCACGCACACACGTGGACTTGCCACGTGGACGAGGGGTGGTCTCTTAGAGGCCTGCTCATGGGGTCCATGGATGAGGGGGACCAGGCCACCCTGGGAGGGGCTTGGGTGTGCATCGCTGGGCCCGCCAGCCAGCCTGCGGGCACACCTTCTTCCCAGACCCCCACAGCACTGGCCTGCCCGCCGGGCAGCCGCCTTGTCCTGCCGCCTCTCCACAGCTCAGGGGTGTGGGTGGAGCACCTGCATGCCCAGTCTCCCCGTGGACCCCGAGAGGGTGGAGGGAAGTCTTGTGCCCAGGCTCTGCCCCTCCTTGGGCACGGGGAGCCCCCAAGCATCCAGCTGCCCCAACACAGAGCAGTTTCCCAAACTCAGAATTTGGACTCTGACCCCACCTTGGGTCTTGGCTAGAGTTCTGGATGATGGGCAGCGGCCAGCAGGCCCCGCCCACTCACCAAGCACCTGTTCATCTGGGGCCAAGCTACCTCCCCGTCATCTGCCTCTGGAGAAGCTGAAGCGCACCTCAGAGATGCCTGAGTGGCCTGGGATGATGTGTGTGGCATGTGGAGCTCAGCAGGTGGCTGCCTCTGGGGAGCAGTGTCGCTTCAGAAGCCCAGCACACCTGGACAGGCTGGACCCGACAGCCTGCAGCAGCCCTCCCACACAGCAGGAGTGAGTACGCTACCCCCAGGCAGCACACCAGGACCAACCGCGGGGCAGGCAGTGAGTCGCCAGGACTGGGGAGAAAACCTCCCCAGCTCCACGCAGAGTCCTTCCCAGCCCCCGTGATGGGACTTGCCCTGGAAACAGGGGGTGCCCGATGAGGTCACAGAGAAGGAGGGGCTCACCCAATGACCACTGCCCCACGGGAGGAAGGGCACAGGGAGAAGACCCGGTGACTGGGTCCAGGGGAGGCTGGAGGCTCTAGGCAGCCCCCCACAGCCACACGTCCTTCTGTAGCCCCCAGCCTCCAGCCCTGTCCACCCCAGGATAGCATGGGGACAGGGGCGTGGCCTGAACTGTGCCCAGGGGGCCCTGCGAGGGGATGCCGCTCCCCCGCAGGTGCCTGCTCAGCAGGGCGGGTCCCAGCAGGCTGGGGACCTGGAGAACTGCCATCCCATCTGCCCACGGGCCACGCTGCCAAGACTGCTGTGGTGGCCACGGCCGTGCTGTTCCAGTGCCACGTGATGTGGTCCGGGATGCGGTTCCTGCCACCTGGCCGGCCTGAGCAGCTCCGGCCCTGACCCAGGCAGAGGGTCGTCGACTTCCCGGGCCACATCCACCTGGCATTGAAAACCGTGCAGCGGCGATGGAGGCCGGGGGAGGGCTGCTTTTGCACCCGGGGGCTGGGAATAAGGGTGTGGCTCGGGTGTGCACTGCACGGTTTTGCTCCTGATTTGCTAAAGAGAACACAGATCCTGCACACAGGCAAGGACACAGGTCACGGAGCTGCTGGTGCCACCGTCTCCTGAGAACCCAGCATGCAGTGGATGTGCAGTCCACATCCTGACTCCAGATTCTGTTTAGTTCCTGTGACTGTGGATTCCAGCTCCACTGGTCAGGCCACCGGACAGCCCAAGTCCCAGGACTCCCCCTTCCTTCCTCCCGCACCCACTCAGAAGTGACATGTCACCGTCAGTGGCTGTGGACGAAGGTCTTGGACTTTGCTCCTTGCTCATCCCCATCTGCCTCACTGAGGCCGTCACAAATCCCAGGGGCAGTGGGCATTGCTGGCCTCGGGCTTCGCCAGCCAGCACCTCAAGCTCAGGAGGACCTGGGCTGCCGGCCTCACCTGGCTGTGCAGGAAGCCCGGGTCATTCCCAGACTTCCCAGCAGGACTCACTGTGTCCTTTGTCCTGCAGGACGGGGTACCTGCTGGACACGGCCAGCTCACCATGAGCACTCAGCTTCTTCAGAGCTGGGTCCCGAGCCACATGCGTCTGCCCTCTCAGCAGGCTATGTCCCCCTGGTCTGTCCCCTTTCAGGATGGCTAGCTCTCCCGAGCCCCACCTGCCCTCCTGCCAGCTCCTGTCTCCAACCTCCCTTCCAGGATTGCTGCCAGAGGACAGTCCAGCACTGGGTGTGACATGGCAGCAGGGCTCAGGCCACAGGATGAGCCTCCCTGGAGAGGGCCAGCTGTGCTGGAAAGGAGCCTGTCCCTTGGTCTGGGCGAGGATTTTCATGGAGCACTGGGCCTCACCTAGGGCCCTGGGGCAGCTGCCAGGAACTTTGTGGATGATGTTCTGATCAAGGCTGACCAAGTCCCCTGAGGCAAACCCTTGGATTCCAGGTCTCTAGCATCTGAGTCTGTCTGCCCAGCTGCTTACTGCTGTGTGGCCTTGGGCAAGTTACTGTACCTCTCATTGCCTTATTCTGAAAAGCAGGGTAAAAGTGGTGCCTCTCCCGGGTTGCTGTGGGGGTGGACAGTTCACACTGCGTGGAGTGCTGAGCCAGTACCTGGAGGGGTGTGTTGCCATCGGGAGCTGTTCCTCAGCAGACACTGGTGTTCACGGAAGGCACAACTGCGTGAGCCACATGGAGGATGCTGGCAGAGATGGACAGATGCTCAGCCTTGGGAACTGCCTCTCAAGCTACGGAGGGGCAGGCCCACTCTGCTGGCCCTGCAGGCTGGGGCCAGGGAAGTGCCAACCAGCAGCTGGAATGGGGCACCTGTAGCAGGAGTCCCTTCTCCTCAGGGCCTCAGTGTTTCCCAGGCCTGCGACTGATTGGTTGAGGCCCACGGTGCTGGGGAGGGCAGCCTGCTTGCCACGTACCCCAAGTCTGGCCTAACTGTCAGGATTCCAGGAGGATGTCCTGCACAGCAATGGCTAGACCAAGGCTTGGCCCAGCATCCTGCCAGGCAACAGAGGTGACACACGACACTGACACTGGAGGCCCTAGGCTTGGCCTGAAGCAGCCACTCGGTGGGGCCTGCAGGCCCAGTGCCTGGCTCAGCCGGAGGGCCAGGGCAGACGCGGTGGCAGGTGGAGGGGAGGTTCAGGGGTTCTTGGAGTTGGTGGGACTCGCCTTCCCCTCTGGTTCTGCCTTGAAATATGGCCTAGAGGCCAGCAGGGGTTCTCAGGGTGTGGGCCCGCAGGAACCCTGTTAGAGAAGTCCATTCCCAGGGGCCCAGTGGGTGCAGCCAGTCCCCAGGGGCCTGCCCTGCAGGTGTGCCCAGGACCGCCCCTGCGGCTGCTCTGGGAAGGCAAGGTCTGCATCTTAGTGCATCTGCCTGGGAGCGGGCCTTCCCTGAAACTGGGGCAGAGAAGGTTCTGGAACTGCTGGGAGCAAGTTGGGTGGCCCCTCCAAGGGCTCTTTGCAGATAATTCCTCCATGGAGGTGGGATGGCACCTGGCTCCAAGAACTGTGGGCACAGCTGGGGCTGCCCCAGCACAGGAGCCCAGGGGGCCTGGGTCCACACATGCCAGGGCTTATGCCCCTTCCCCAGGTGACTCAGAGCCAGGAGAAACTGCCCACGTTCCCCGGGCTTTTTATTTTTTAAAAAAGCAATTTCTTAATGATTTGCCCAATACTTCTACGTGTGATGGTTGCACTTTCTAATTAATGTTGTGATTGTTTGCTAGATGCTTCTCACCTCCCAGCCCGTGGGCTCTGTGAGGCAAACCCTGGACCCATTCACCCTCTACCTTGGGGTTAGCACTGTGCTGCAAGGCCACCACGCAGGAAGCTGGTGGTGAACCAGGATGTCAGGGCACACGTGCTGTTGGGAAACGTCACCTCACCTGAAGTGCCCTTTGTCAAAGGATGCCAGCACTGCGTCAGGGGTGTGGTGCGGTGTGCAGGCACCGGGCATCTGCAAGTGGGGATGGTGGTGGCCACAGCATGCACACTCGAGCTCCAATCTGCAGGTGGCAGCCGGGTGCTGCCAGTGTCAAATGCACAGCGTGGCTCCCTGCCAACCATGGTGAGGTGGAGCGCGGCCTTGCTTCCTCCCAGGTCTGCACCTTTGGGCAGGCGACTCCCTGCCAGAGCAGCCAGTCTGCCCCTGGGAACCCACCGACCCCCTCAGGGACCCAGCCGCCTACTTATCTGGTGCTACCTGGGAGGCATGCGGCCAGGCCAGGAGGGTGCCCTAGGCTGCTGCGGCCTCTGCACCTGCCCAGGGACAACAGGAGGTAACGGGGGTGGAAGATGAGGCCCTGCTTGGAGGGGCGGCAGCCAGGGGAGGGGTGGGGGCGGGGACCTGTGCCTCTGCGCTGCGGGATTTCCAGGTGACCTCCCGGTGTCGCCTGAGTCCCACCCAGGTGAGTGCGGCGGATGCGTATGCGTGAGTTCCGGGTGACCTTGCGGTGTGAGCCCCAGGTGACCTGTGATGGTGCACACGCATGACCTCCCTGGCAACCGCGGTGGTGCACACGCGCGGACTCCAGGTGGCCGCGGTGGTGACTCGCGCGGCAGGCGCGCGCCGCTTCCGCTTCCGCCGCCGAGCGCCCCCCGCCCCCCGCCAGCGCAGGGCGCGCCCCCCTCCCGGTGGCGCGGGGACCAATCCCGGGCAGGGAGGCGAAGCGCCGAGCCCCCTCCCCGCTGCCGCGGCGCCCCCTCCCCACCGCTCTGCCCCGCCCGGAGAGCACCTTCTGGTGCAGCGCAGGCAGAGCCGAGCGGCGATCTGCAGCATCAGAGGATGAGGTTTTGGCTGAGAAATGAAGAGATGGCCCTAGAAGAAATGGTGCAGAGATTAAACGCGGTTTCCAGGCACACTGGTAGGCGGAGCTGCTGGCTGTGTGGTCTACGCTCGACATCATTTGTTCAAATGCAGGGAAATGCGTGCATGGCCGTATAGCCACCTTCATTTTTCTTTTCTAGCTCTGATAACAGGAAAGAACAGATAGGATGGGCAGTCGCTGGTGGCTGTTTCCGTGGGCTGCCGGTGTGGCTTGCTCTGCCTGGCACAGTTAAAATAACTGCGAAGCAGCGGCACAGGCTTTGGACACCATCAGGGTGTGTGCAGAGCCACGGGGGCTATGCCAGCCTGCGTGCACCTCGGCTGCCTTTGCAGCAGTGACAGCAGCAATGGAGAGAGACAGGATTCCCAGCCCGCACGATCTGGCCCAGGCCCTGCAGAGCCCGGTGGGGATGGGCGCTGTCAGAAGGAAGCTCCTTTGAGGAGGAGAAACCTAGATCAGTCAGGGGGCTCTTTTTCTCCACCAAGTGTAAATTAAGCCTGAGACGAATGTTTGGAAGTGGTTTGGGTGAGGAGTGGACGTTCATTTTTGGCGTTAATTGAAAGATGACTTAAAACTAGCTGTGAAGAACAGCTCAGATGGACCCACCTGAGGTCAGCAAGCACAGGGACTGACAGCTCCTGTCCGGTTGGCTTCAGTTAGTCACGTCTGGGTTTCATGCTGCATTGTGCACAAGGAAATGGGCAGCGGCAACTAGCTTTTCTGGAAGAGAAAATAAGGATGTACCAGTGACAGTGAGTTCTGACGTGTGTGTGCCTGATATTGCCATCTGATGTGCTGTATGTGTCATTATCTAGTTTTCTGAACAATAGTGTTCTGGGAGAACATGAACATGTTGTCGGCTTTGTGGCTGGGGTGTGGTGTCCCCAGCCCCGCTGGTTTTGAGAGCACCCCAGTGGTTTCGTCCGCGGGATCATTGTGTGGGGTGTTCTAACCAAGACTTTTGATGACATTGGGTTGAGATGGTGATTCTGTGTTTTTCACTCCATCTGTCCCCTTCTTCTGACAGAAGCAGCTCCATTGTCTGGAACGTGGGCCAAGCTTTGCATGTTGCGGGCCTGGTGAGGGTGAAGGGCACCACGGGTGCCCTGTTCATGGGTGACCGGGGCTTGTCCCCGGGAGGAGCAGGACTGTGTCTCTCCTCTGCCTTGGTTGGCGTCAGGACCAGGAGTGGGCACTGCTCCAACTGTGATGTCACCCTGGGTTTTCAGGGCTGAGGTTTGTTCGTGAGCTCAGAAAGACACATGTGCATGTAAGTTGTAAAAAGCTGTCTCGGGGGTGCACCGACCCCTCCCGGAGCAGGCTCGGCCGGCCCACTGCCGGGCCCTGGTGGTGACCATTGTCTGTCTGAAGCAGCAGCCCTCAGACGCCTGTCCTGGGGCAGTGCGGCAGGACTGAGTGCCGCACACTTCCCGAGACTCGGATGTAGGTGACGGGCCCAAGCGTGTGGCTCTCCCATTGTTTCGTGGGGAGCCACCTGCACCCAGCCCTGCTCATCCCCAACATGGCCACCCCTCTTTGCTTAAGCCGGCCTTCCTCCTCCTGGGCAGGGGCGTCCTGGCGCAGGTGGGTTGGGCTCAGAAGCTGTAAACCATCGCGTGAGGGTTGCATGTCACGCAGGACCGGCAGGAGCCTCTCAGAGCGTAGGGGCTTGCTGCACGCTGTGAGAGGTCAAGGGGAGAGGTCAGTGTGCCCCTAACCAGCAGCCCAGGCTTAAGCTCCGGGCATTTCCTGAAGAACCCTGTCTGCCACAGAATGGCTTTTAATCGAGGTCACAGAGTTGTTCACGCCACCCATGTCACGTCAGCAGCAGCAGCAGCAGGTGCAGCCCGTGGCCCCGGGACCTTGATCTGGGGTCTGCAGAGCTACCCAGGCAGCGCTCCCCAGCCCTGGAGGGTGAGGTCGCAGCTGAGGGCTTGGGCACTGTCCTCAGGCCGCATGTGGGCTGGCCCTCCGTGGCATTCCACCCATTGCCTCTGTTCCAACTTCAGGTTTGAGTGTCACTTCCCGTCGCCCAGAACCCTGGTCACCTGGGCTGGTCTGCCCGCCAAGGAGGACAGTGTGTGCTGCCTGGCGGGCTGTGAATCTGCGTCCCCTGACCTTGAGTCAGAGGCCACGCGGGCTCCTGGACCTGACCTTGAGTACCAGGCCAGGGGCACTTTGCCACAGCAGAGCCCTCTGTGGGGGACCCCATTCCCAGCACGTCCATCTGTTCTGGCTTTCTCAGCCGAAACTGGTGGAAAACGGGAAGCATCTGGGGGAGACATGCTCCCGAGCTGGTTGACGTAAGCACTCGGTGAATGCAGAGCGGTGGTGCTCGGGCTGGGGCTTGCCCTGCGTCGCCTGGAGGGCTGGCTAAGAGGCAGCCCGAGGGCCAGCCCGTGGGCCAGCCTAGAGCCTCCAACCCAGAAGTCTGGCCTGGGCGGAGGCTAGGACTCCCCCTTTAAGTTCCCGGGTGTTCAGGTTGTTCTAGTCCAGAATCCCAACTTGGAGAGCCACTGTCGTCGAGGGCCTTAGATCTAGCCCACTCTCTACTGATGGATCTGGAGGAAGTCCTTGCTCTCTTCATGGATGAGTGGATGAGTGAGTGGGTGGATGTGTGACTGGATGGTGGGTGAATGATGGATAGAAGGAGGGGCAGATGTGTAGATGAATGAGTGGGTGGATGGATATGTGGATGGATGGGTGAAGTGGGTGTGGGTAGATGGATGGGCAGATGTG